GGGTCAGGGATGGGGTTTGGGGTCAGGGAGGGGGTTTGGGGTCAGGATTACAGTTTGGGGTCAGGGATGGGGTTTGGGGTCAGGTTTAGAGTCAGGGTGAGGATTAGGGGTTCAGGTTAGGGTCAGGATTAGGGGTTACAGTCAGGGTTAGGGGTCAGGGTCAGGTTTGGGGTCAAGTTTAAGGTTAGGGTTGGGGTCAGGGTTAATGTTAGGGTCAGGGTCAGTGTTAGGATTAGGGTCAGGGTTAGGGTTAGGTTTAGGGTCAGGGTCAGGGTCAGGGTTAGGGTTAGGGTCAGGGTCAGGGTTAGGTTTAGGGTCAGGGTCAGGGTCAGGGTTAGGGTTAGGGTCAGGGTCAGGGTTAGGGTTAGGGTCAGGGTCAGGGTTAGGGTTGGGGTCAGGTTTAGGGTTAGGGTTAGGGTTGGGTTCAGGGCTGAGGTTAGGGTTAGAGTGAGGATCCAGGTTAGGGTCAGGGTCAGGGTCAGGTTTAGGGTAGGGTTAGGTTTAAGATTCGGGTTAAGGTTAAGTTTATTGTTAGGTTTAGGGTAAGGTTTAGGGTCAGTGTTAGGGTTGGGGTCGGGATCAGGATTAGGGTCAGTGTTAGGGTTAGGGTCAGGATTCAGTTTAGGATTAGTTTTATGTTTAGGGTTAGGGTCAGGCTTAGGGTCAGTGTTAGAGTTAGGGTCAGGGTCCAGGTGAGGATTAGGGGTTCAGGTTAGGGCCAGGGTCAGAGCCAGGTTAGGATCGGGGTTAGAGTCAGGTGCAGGGTCAGGGTTAGGGTCAGGTTTCAGTTTAGGATTAGGTTTAAGTTTAGGGTCAGGGTCAGGATTAGGGTCAGTGTTAGGGTTAGGGTCAGGTTTCAGTTTAGCATTAATGTTTAGGGTTAGGGTCAGGTTTAGGGTCAGTGTTAGGGTTGGGGTCAGGTGTCAGTTTAGGATTAGGTTTAAGGTTTAGGGTTAGGGTTAGGGTTGGGGTCAGGTGTCAGTTTAGGATTAGGTTTAAGTTTAGGGTCAGGGTCAGGATTAGGGTCAGTGTTAGGGTTGGGGTCCGGTGTCAGTTTAGGATTCGGTTTAAGGTCTAGGGTTAGGGTTTAAGGTTTGGGTTTAGGGTTAGGGTTTGGGTTAGGGTTTAAGGTTTAGGGTTTAAGGTTTAGGGTTAGGGGTTAGCGTTAGGGTTTAGGTTAGGGTTTGGGACGTGCTGGGTTAGGGTTAGGGTTAGGGGTTAGGGTTAGGGTTTAGGGTTAGGGATGTGCTGGGGGGCTCTGGCAGCACCAGGACCCCCCGAGCTCCCAGCTGACGTACGTGATGGTGGGCACTGAGAACGGATCAAACTGCTCGAGCTTCTGCAGGTCCAGCGGGACTGAAATGCGCCCTGGGACACAGGGGGGGTTCAGGGGAGGTGGACTTGGAGATGGGCAAAGGGGCACGTGTTTTAAAGAGTTGGGGGGTTTTTATGTCTCCTATTTTTTTATCTCGCTTTATTTGAAGGGTGAGATAATATAATAATATTATATTAATAATATATTATTAATATAATAATATATTAACAATAATAATATTATTATAAATAATATTATTGTAAATAATATAATATA